CGTATGTTTATGTGCTAGATTCCAATCAGATCCTAGAGAATCTCACTTAATTGCTATTAAGAGAATTCTGAGGTATCTGAAAGGTACTACTAATCTGGGTCTGTGTTACAAAAGATCAAAAGATTTCAGACTAGTAGGTTATTGTGATGCTGACTTTACTGGAGATAGAATTGAAAGAAAGAGCACCTTTGGAAGCTGCCAGTTTCTGGGTGACAATCTTATCTCGTGGTACAGCAAGAAGCAAGCAACAATTGCACTCTCAACAACAGAAGCTGAGTATATATCTGTTGCTGGATGTAGTTCTCAGATGATTTGGATGAAAAGTCAGCTAGAAGATTTTAATCTTTATGAAAGTAAGATTCCCATCTTCCGTGACAATACTTCTGCAATTTGTCTTTCTAAAAATCCTATTTTACATTCTAAAGCTAAACACATTGAAATTAAATATCATTTTATAAGGAACTATATTCAGAAGGGAATTTTAAATTTAAACTTTGTAAAAACAGACCATCAATGGGATGATATTTTTACCAAACCCCTTTCAGAAGATAGATTTAAATTCATTTTGAAAAATATTTGTATGGAATTATGTCCTAAATAAAATAATATTTATCTTCTGTGCTTAACTTCATAATGTTCTGAAATGAATGCTCTGATTAACAACTCTTCAGAAGTTAGAAGAGAAGTTACATCAGAAGCTATATGTAATGTTCTGAAATGTTCTAACGTTTCAATTCAAGTATAGCTCAACAGTTCATTAGATCAAACAACTGTCCCATGCAACCTTCAGGAGATGAACACTTGGTGTGTTTCTGAAAGGTCACATGTGCTAAGCTATTGACGCCGTTCTAGGTAACTGTTATGATTCGATTAAAATCTCACGCTTTCCCCTCACTTTTCAATTTCATTAAATGACTAAGTCATGATTAGATTCTTTTTATTTAAACTTTTACTAAATACTCTTTTTTTATAGTTTTATTTTTAACCTATTTCTGAAAAGTATTCATATAAATATCTTTGTAAAAACCCTTCTCATTTGTTGTTTTGGTGAACCTCTGAATCTTTTATTATAAAAATTTTACGCTATTCAACTATTTTTCATTTACTTTTTTATTATGTCAAAAAGGGGGAGAAAATGAGTATTTTGATCTAATCTCTGATTAACAATTATGGGACTAAGTCAAACATTCTAACAAAATACAAGATTTCTTTCTATGCTTTAAAGAACTTTGCAGGTATCATTTAAACTCTGGAAGTTTATTTCAAATGAACATTATCTTCAAAAGAACCCGATGAAGAAATCTCAGAAGAAAAATTGCAAAGCTCTGATGAAAATTCTCAGGAAGTTTTTCTTATAGAAATATTTATTTCAGGGGGAGATTCTTATCTCTTATTCAAATTTATTTCTATATCTGAATATATTTTTGTCATCATCAAAAAGGGGGAGATTGTTAGAACAAGATTGGTTCTTATCATATCTCAGAGTTTTGATGATAACAATAAATTATATTTTATATATTTGATACTCTGATGAACGTATTTAATTGTTTCAGATAATGTTCTGACAGAAGCATCTTGATGTGCTAAGCTGAAAATAAATGAAGAAGTTCTTTGATGAAATAACTATTTGTTTTAGCGCAAGTACTGATGTTGTCTCTGATAATGTTCTGACAGAAGCATCTTGATGTGCTGAGCTGAAAATAAATGAAGAAGTTCTTTAATGAAAGAACTATTTGTTTTAGTGCAAGTGTTGATGTTGATGCTGACTATGGTAAGATAATTATTTAAATGGATCTTCTAACGCATAGCATGATTCCTTGATCAGAAGTATCTTGAAAGCAAGTGTTGTTCAGAATTTATTTGAAAGCAAGTGTTGTTCAGAAGATATTTGAAAGTAAGTGTTGTTCAGAAGATATTTGAAAGCAAGTGTTGTTCAGAAGATATTTGGAAGCAAGCGCTGATCAGAAGTACTTAGCAAGCAAAGCGTTGTTTAGAAGATATGCAAGCATGTTATGAATCAAGACGTGAAGCCAAGTTCTGAATTAATATAGAAGCTAACAAGTCTTGTCAAGGATCAGGAGACATGCTCTTACAAGTGCCGTTTGCTCATTTAATGCAAAGACGGCTACATGCACTCAAGTGTCTACGCTAGTGCATTGGAAAATGGAATAGTGCAAAGAAACACGCAAACATTTAATGCTCTCCATTTGAAGGCAGCAACGGTCATGTTTCTTCATGCTATATATAGAAGAACATTAATTGCAAGCCAACAACTGAACTGAACCGGAAACACTGAAAGGCTGAACAACTGAAGTTCTGAATAGAACTTAACAATTTCAAAAGAAGCAAGAACAACGTGAAAAATTCCGGGCTTACAAACAAATTTCATACACTTTGTGCTATACTATTCTTAGTGAAAAATCACAGTTGTGATATAGCTTTCTTAGAAGCAAACTTTGTTTCACTATCTGTAAAGATTTATCTCTTGTAATTGTTCCTTGAGAGACAAAGTTTGGTCAGATTTCTCAAGTAGACTAGGACTCATAGCCTTGTTGCTTTATACCTAAACATGTTAAATGATTCGATCACCACATAGCAATGTCATCTAGAATGAGCTTTGCTTTTATTCTGAGCCACTTCCATGCCCAAATTTTTGCATCTTCTACAATTTTCTCGATATGGATATCCTTATTTCGAAAAACTTTATCGTTTCTATGATTCCAAATACTCCCTAGGCAAGCGAACCAGATTGCATGATTCCAAATACTCCCTAGGAAGGCGAACCAAATTGCCGACATTTTTGAAATTAAAGAGTTTCTGTTTTCAAGCAAGTTAGCAAATTGTTCCCAGTGTCGCCACCCGTCGTTGAGAAAGGTAGACTACAATCCTAGTCACCTGCAAATACAACTCCACGTACCTGTAAATTTTGGACTTTAAAAAAAATATGTGAGACCGATTGCTCACTTCTGCAGCCTGTGACACACCCAATCTGACCCTGGGTTAGAACTCCTCTTCTAACTAGGTTATCTTTTATGGGAATTCTTCTTGAAACATTCTCCACACCATGCACGACACTTTGGTTGGAATCGCCTTATTCCAAATCTTCGACCAAGTATGGTTAAACACAAATTACTTATATAAGATTAATCTAATGACAATTTCCTTGAAAACCATTATGAACTCACATGCTTCTCTTTTTCATACATAATTACTTCCTCTCTCCTTATCATTTATTCATGTAATGTGGTGTTTTAGCTGTTTCCTCTTCCGTATCAAAAAAATTGCTTCCTCTCCCATTTCTCTTTTATTCATAACCTATGTTTTTATTTTTCTCTCTCTCACACACACAATTGCTCCCTCTCTCCTTTTTCTCTCGAGACACCAAATAACACACTTCACACACACCCAACTCAAACAAAATTTTCAACTTCTGCTCTTAAAACATGGCAAACTCTATGATGATAACTTTCTCTTACATCATTTTTATGCTCCATTGCTTAAGTTTACCGCTTATCTATTGAAAACATGAAAGATACATTTTAATTTTTTCTTCTACTCAGATCTTCTCAAAAGAGGACATGCATTCTAGATCTAAGTTAAAAAAGAATAAAGAATATGTATGATTTCCTCTATTTTGATGGTTGTTCTTTGTTTTAGATTATGATATTTTTCCTATTTGTTTGGCTGATATCACCAGACGAACCCATCCATCGAACCCATTATCCGAAAAAACCACCAGCCGCTGAAACCGATATGTAACACGAACGAAAGTGGGTTGAAATATTGGAATCGTCGGTCTTGGGCGGTGGACAATTTTTGGTCTGAATCCGTCCGCAGTCGACCGTTGTCTGCCCCTAACATCTTCTATCCACCACCATGTGGGAAATACTTTCGATACAAATGAGTCGGTCCCTCACTCGAAAAGTACTTTCGATACAAGTGAGTCAGTCCATCACTCGAGGAGTACTTTAGATACAAGTGAGTCGGTTTCTCACTCGAACCAGATTGTGATACAACTGTTGGATCATCAACTCGAAGGTTCAACATGAGAGAGCATTTATGTTTGAGCTTTTTTCTTTTATGAACAACACATATTTGTGAGAGACACCACATACTCACAAAAAAATCTCTAAGTGATAGATGTGAGAGTTCTCCCACTTATAAATGTCCAATTCTCCACTATTCTAATAAATGTGAGAGTTTCTCACAATTTATTTCTCAAAGTTTCAAATTCACATTCGTCATTCTCAACAAAAGTTATTATTTGTTGTTGTTCCTCTCTTATATTATATTCAATATTTTTATATAAAATATTATATATTAATATGATTTAATTAATATCATTACTAATGTGAAACAGAAATAATATGTTTTTCACGGGAGTCATAATTAAATAAATAAGAGTTAAAAAGGTAGTGCACTAACGGTGTAAGATAATTTTACAGTGTCATCCAATAAAAAATCATCATTCAATTGCATAATATAATTTATTTAAAAATAATGATATAATTTAACACTTAACTTAATTGTGATTGATTGATAATATAAAATTATTTTAATATACATATTTCTTTTTCTCATTAAATAATCACCCTAAAGACAAAACATGGATTTTCTAATCAACATACAGATGAACCTACAAAACCTCGTGTCTCCAAAGTCTGAATATAGTTGCATCATATCTTAAATTAAACTCTTTTTTTTCTTCTGGAAGAAGCTAAATAATATATTAATCTTTCTGTACTAAGCACAAGATGTGCAAAGTAAGACAAAAGAGAGCAGTAAATTAAACTCTTTTTAAAATAGTTTTTCATTTTATTCTGTTGAATAGGACAATCTAACTAGAAATAGCCTAGCAATATTGACCAAAACTAAGTTACCTGGATCAAAACTTACAAGAATCTAATCAACAACATGAATCATTCTAGTAAAACCAACCAACCAAAAAATTGAACCTCGTAATATTAAAAGCTTTGCATGAAAAACATAGAAAGTGGTACCTTTTCGGGTTTTCCGATGATTGTTGAGATAGCAGTGGTGACTTCAGAAAAGATGGAATCGATATCAACTCCATCTAAGTTAAGATTGGTGGTGATGTAAACACAAGGCATCTTCTTCTTCTTTTCAAATATGCTGCGGGTGGATCTATGGAAGATTTGGAATCCAAGTTGACTTGGTAGAACCTGTTTTGCATCTTCCTCTTCTAGGATGTGGGTGTATATATACTACTATTATCTTCAAGTTGTACTATATTATAAAAAAACATTCAACAAAAGTTAAGAGATTTAAAAAAATAGTTGTACAAATAATGTTGTCAAATCAACAACTTGGTCAAAAAAGTGTAACATTTTCACATTATAATTATTGATATCATAGACTCAAGACTTTTGATAAGAAAATAAACAAAATTTCTCCATGAACAAGATAATGTGCAAATTAATATAAAGAGAAATATATAAAGCATTTAATAATAATTCTTTTCACAACATCTACAACCGAGTGACACCTATGGAAGTATAAGAGAGTGAGAGATGTTTGAATAAATGGTGTGTTTAAATACTAATGTGAAGACTATATTATACTCTATTAATTCCTATTTATAAGAAAATTTTAACTTTTTAGATTCATTGAATAATTGATGTATCTAACCAATATATAGTCTAAATACATAATTTATTTAATGAATCTAAAAAGTCAAAATTTTCTTATAAAAGAGAATGGAAGAAGTATATAGATAGAGATTTGCAGCTAATTATATGTTATAGTCAATGTGAGACTTTTTATATACAAATATTATTAACACTTCCCCTCAAGTTGGATCATATATATCATATGAGTCGAGTTTGTTATAAATGTAATCCACTCGAGAACCTCTAAGAGATTTTGCAAACATATCAGTCAATTGGTCTTCAAATTTGACGAAATATGTGGTGATTTCTCCTGAAAATACTCTTGTCCCTTACATATTGACAGTCTATTCCTATGTGTTTGGCCTGTTCATGGGAAATCATATTAGATGTAATATGGAGTGTCGCTTGATTATCACATATGAGTTTTGTGTTTTGAAGATCTCTCAACCTAAATTCTGAGAGTAAAATTTCCAGCCATGCAAGCTCCTTTGAGGCTGCTGCCATAACACGATATTTTGCTTCAGCACTAGATAATGCAATTGTATTTTATTTCTTGCTTCTCCGTGAGATCATATTACCTCCAATCATAACACAATATCTAGACGTGGATCTCTTATCCGACGGTGATCCGACCCAATCTGCATCTGAATAACAAATGATTTTAGCATCACCCTTATCTTTATATAATAGTTTATTTCCTGGTGTATTCTTTATATATATAAGGATTCGAATGACTACATCCCAATGACTATCACAAAGAGCGTTCAAGAATTGACTCACAATGCTCACCATAAATATAATATTCGGTATGGTGACTATAAGATAGTAGAGTTTACCCATAAGCCATCGATATTTTCTCGTGTCTATCAATGGCTCCCCTTGACCCGAAAGAAGCTTGGAATTGGGAACCATATGAGTATCAATAGGACAACAATCAAACATACATGTTTTACTGAGAATATCTGACCACTACGCAAAAAGTGAGTTTTACCAGCACACATTAGACAGCGCTTTTGTACAAAAGCGCTGCTATAAGTGAATTAAAAAAATACGGAAAACGTATAAAATAATTAGTAAAAGCGCTGCTAAATATATGACCTTAGACAACGCTTTTAAAAAGCGCTGCTAAAGGATTGCTTTAGAAAGCGTTTTATCATAAGCGTTGGTAAAGGGCCACTTTAGACAACGCTTTAAGAAAGCGCTGTCTAAAGTCATAAAAAATTTATAAAAAAAAATAGAAAAGCGCTGCTAAAGGTCACTATTAGCCAGCGCTTTTCAAAAGCGCTGTCTAAGGTCCATATTAGCCAACACTTTTAGAAAGCGCTGTCTAAACCCTTATAAGTCAGAATTAAAAAAATAGAACCTTTGTATTCACAGTATCACGAAAACATAAACCCTTTCCCTCGCGAAACTCATTTCCTTCTCCGTCTCAAATCGTCCTCCACCGTTCGTCGTCGTACCTTCCTCCACCGTCTCGCTCCATTTTCCTCCACCCACACCGGCCGGTTCTCAAGGTATGTTCTTTATTGAAAATGTGTTTAACTCCATTGATGTCCAAACTGAGTTATCATCCTTGAAAATGTGTTAATATCCATTGATGTCCAAATGTGTTTATCTCCTATTGATGTCTAAACTGGGTTATATGTATGCATTTTAATTTTTGGATTCTTGGTAGGGCTTGATATATAACAACAACATTTTTAGCATTTAGCATTTTTAGCATTTTTTGGATTCTTGGTTCTATGTTTTGGAATATAAAAGATGATATATATATATATATATATATATATATATATATATATATATATATATATATATATATATATATATATATATATATATATATATATATATATATATATATATATATATATATATATATATATATATATATATATATATATATATATATATATATATATATGATGGGTTTTTTTATTATTTTAATTGGTTTCTGAATTGTTTACCATGTTTATATTTTCCATAAACTAGTATTTTGAACCTAAATATATATACAACTTGTTTTTGATGATCCTTTTGTATTGGTGTAGTTAGGTGAAGACCATCACCGATTCGAAGAACATCAAAGTCGCATCATCCGCTGTCGACACCAATAGCCCCTTTTCTTTCTTTGGTAAGTCAAGTTCAAATTCTATCTGTATCGATCAATTAAAAAACACAATTATTTTTATATAGATATATTTATTTTTAGTCCATGTTATTAACTCTAGAAATAAATTTCTAGAAATAATTCGTTTAATTCAAACAAAAAGATAATAATCCGTTTATAGTGTTTTTGTTTACTTGAATAAGTAGAAAAAAATGGATAAAAAATGGATGTTTGCCGATCGATTGTCACAAGAGTACGAGAATGGGGTATTGGAATTCGTTAAGTTTGCTGTTGAACACGCCAAAGACCCTAGTCAAATGAAGTGTCCTTGCTTGGATTGTTGTTATGTGGGTCAGGTTAATGCATATAGATTGAAATCGCATTTACTAATGCATGGAATTGATAGAAGTTATACGTGTTGGATATTTCATGGTGAAAAAAGTAACAACAACGTTGAACCGGGGGAGAAAAGTAGTACGGCCTATGCTTCAGACGACAAGGACACAGATATATACGATTTTGATCGAGTCGAAGAGATTGCAGATGCACTTGAAGAAGATCTTCAGGATTGTCCCAAAATGTTTGAGAGATTGGTAAGCGATGCAGAGAAACAGTTGTATAAAGGGTGCACTAAATTCACAAGACTGTCTGCGGTATTAAAGTTATATAACTTAAAGGCGGACAATGGATGGTCAGATAAAAGTTTCACAAAGTTATTATCCCTTATGAGAGATATGCTTCCGGAGGATAATGTTCTTCCTAATCGAACCTATGAGGCCAAAAAAATGTTGTGCTCTATTGGCATGAGCTATGATAAGATACATGCTTGTCCAAACGATTGCGTTTTGTTTCGAAACGAATATGCTTCGTTAAATGAGTGCCCTAAATGCGGTTTGTCTCGATATAAGAAAAAATTGTCTCCAGCAAAAGTCTTATGGTATTTTCCTATAATTTCGAGATTTAGGCGAATGTTTCGTAGTGAAACAGATGCAAGAAACCTTACTTGGCATGCAGATGAAATAATTATTGATGGAAAGTATCGACATCCGGAAGATTCACCATAGTGGTCGAAAATTGATAATGATTATCCTGATTTTGGAGAAGAAGCAAGAAACCTTCGGTTGGGTTTATCTACTGATGGAATGAACCCGCGTGGTCTTCAAAGTATCTCACATACCATATGGCCTGCGATTCTTATGATTTATAACCTACCTCCATGGTTATGTATGAAGCGTAAGTATATGATGTTATCTATGTTAATATCTGGGCCTAAAAAACCAGGGAATAACATAGACGTATACTTGACACCTTTGATCGAAGATTTAAAGATTTTGTGGGAGAACGGGGTGGAGGTTTATGATGGATATAGGAAATAAAGTTTTTTGAGGGTGATGTTGTTTGGCACAATTAATGATTTTCCAGCATACGGGAATCTATCTGGGTATAGCATTAAAGGTCAACGTGCGTGTCCTATTTGTGAAGATGGAACAGATACGACGCGTTTGGAACTTTGTCAGAAGAATGTGTTTCTCGGTCATTGTAGATTCTTACATTCTAAACATCACTACCATGCATGGAGAAAAGCATTCAATGGAGACACCGAACAACGTAAAGCTCCACCTGCATTGTCAGGTGACCAAATTTTTGAAAAGGTGAAAGATGTGTGTACTCAGTTTGGCAAGCCTTTTGCGCATACGGTTGTCAAAGGTGGGTGGAAGAAGAGATCATTTTTTTTAAATTGCCATATTGGAAATTTCTGTATGTGAGACATTTTCTCGATATTATGTATATTGAAAAAAATGTATTTGAAAGTGTTATTGGTATGTTACTCAATATTAAAGGAAAGTCTAAGGATGGCCTTAAAGTAAAGGAGGACATGTTAAAGATGGGAATACAAACTGAACTAGGACCCGTGAAGAAAGGAAGCCAAACATATCTACCACCTGCTGCTTTCACTCTATCTAGAAAGGAGAAAAAGATATTGTGTAAGTTTCTAAGTGAAGTTAAAGTTCCAGAAGGATACTCTTCAGATATTAGAATATTTGTGTCTATGAAAGACCTCAAGTTAAAGATTTTAAAGACACATGATTGCCATGTTATAATGGATCATTTTCTACCAATAGGTATACATTCTATTTTGCCAGATAAAGTAAGGAGTGCGATAACTAAGTTGTGTTTTTTCTTTAGGTCAATTTGTAGTAAGGTGATTGATCCTGAGATCTTACCAACATTGCAAAAATAAATTGTTATTACTTTGTGTGAGCTTGAAATGTATTTTCCTCCCTCATTTTTTGATATAATAGTACATCTAGTTGTTCATCTTGTGAAAGAGACACAGTTGTGAGGCCCAACTTATATGAGATGGATGTAC